TCACTCTGTCGTCCAGGCTGGAGTATAGTGCCACGATCTTGGCTCACTGCAACCTCCACCTCCTGGGTTCAAGAAAATTCTCCTGCCTCAGCCTCCCAAGTAGCTGGGACATGCCACCACACCCAGATAATTTTTTTTTTTTTGAGACAGAGTTTCACTCTCGTTGCCCAGGCTGGAGTGCAAGGGCGTGACCTTGGCTCACTGCAACCTCTGCCTCCCAGGTTTAAGCAATTCTCCTGCCTCAACCTCAACCTCGCGAGTAGTTGGGGTTACAGGCATGCGCCACCATGCCCAGCTAATTTTGTATTTTAGTAGAAACGGGGTTTCTCCATGTTGGTCTGGCTGGTCTCGAACTCCCGGCCTCAGGTGATCCACTCACCTCGGCCTCCCAAACTGCTGGGATTACAGGTGTAAGCCAATGTGCCCAGCCAATTTTTGTATTTTTAGTAGAGATTGGGTTTCACCACGTTGGCTGGAATGGTCTCCATCTCTTGACCTCATGATCTGCCTGCCTCGGCATTTCAAAGTGCTGGGATTACAGGTGCGACCCATCATGCCCGGCCAAATTTTTGTATTTTTAGTAGAGACTGGGTTTCACTATGTTGGCCAGACTGGTCTCAAACTCCCAACCTCAAGTGATCCACCGCCTCAACCTCCCAAAGTGCTGGGATTACAGGCGTGAACCACCAAGCCCGGCCACATTTTTTTTTTAATGAAAAGCTTACATCAAATAATGTTACTTTTACAGTCAGAAACCTAAAAGACTATAACAGAGTGCTAGCTTACAAGTAGACCCCTCTCCACTACTCATAAAGAAAATTATGAGTAGTGATGAAAATCAGGCCAGGTGCGGTAGCTTGCGCTTGTAATCCCAGCATTTTGGGAAGCCATGGTGGGTGTATCACTGGACATCAGGAGTTTGAAGCCATCCTGGCCAACATGATGAAACCCTGTCTCTACTAAAAATATAAAAATTAGTCAGGCGTGGTGGTGCATGCCTGTAAACCCAGCTACCTGGGAGGCTGAGGTAGGAGAATTACGTAAATCTGGGAGGCAGAGGTTACAGGGAGCCAAGATTGTGCCACTGCACTCCAGCCTGGGTGACACAGCAAGACTCTCTCAAAAAAGAAAAGAAAATCAGATTTCTGGAAGTCAAGCCTATTTTCATGGCTGCACACATGTGCGGCTGGCCAAAGTTGGTCTGGCAGTTTTCCCTTCTTAGGCAGGGGCCCGGGAGGTCAAGAAGCCAGCAGGAGTGTCTCCAAAGCTCAGCCAGTCTTCCTTTCCCTACTGAACATCCCCACAGCCCTCCTCTCACTCATTGAGCTCGCTTTCCATAGGAAAGAAAAAACTGAGCCATCCCAAGTGGCAATGCTCGACCAGGAACAATATGAGGATTCCCACCTGGGAAAATATCGGCGCATCTATCCTGGGCCTGACACGGAGAAGTATGCCCGCTTCTTCAAGCACAATGGCTCCCTCTTCCAGGAGACTGCTGCTTCCAAGGCCAGAGAGGAGTGTGCCAGGTACTATGACCGACATTCTCCTCTGCACACCTAGGTGGGGACAAGTCCTGCAGCAGCATTGCTCCCCAGCAGGGAAGCCAGACACTTGAGGAAGGAGGAATGGGGTTATAATCCTATCCGACTCTTAGTGGCTCTTTTCAGTTTAGGTTTCCTATCTTCCCGCTCATTGCTCTCCCATCAGTCTAAAGAACAGATTGTAATTTCCTACTCTTTCCCTATCTCCATTTTTCCTCACCCCTCTTCTCCCCAACACCAATTCCCTCGTGTCTGAAGCTGCTGTATCTTGTCAGGCAGCAACTGGAGGAGATCCGCCTGAAGCAGGAACAGCAGGAGAACTCATGCACTAAGAGGCAAAAGGCCAAGGACCAGAACCAGGGTGAATCCGCTGGGGAGAAGAGCCGGCCCAGGCCAGGGCTCCAGAGCCTTTCCACACGCTTGGTTTACAGGAACCACAATTGGGAGAAACAGGTGTCAGGGGTTTTGTGGCTCTTCTCTTTCTGCAGGAAAGTGGGGTGGGACAAGTAGAGAGGGGAATCTCTGCTGTCCTCTCCTCCCTTTGCATGAGAGAGAGGGGGGTTTCTAATCAGTAAATTGAATGTGGCCCTTTGGAAGAAGAGGGGAGGATGGAGAGCAAAAGGAACTGCACTGGGTCGGGGAAGGGATGAGGGTAGAGCAGGCAGGAGGCCTGCAGCCATCCTGGGCCATGGTTCAGGACTCATCCTTGGAGATCCTGCATTTATGTCTCATGTACCTTGCAGCTGCTGCCGGGACAGCTGGACACCATGAGGCCTCAAGAGATTGTGGCAGAGGAAGAGCTGGAGCGGTTGAAGGCCCTGCTACAAAGGGAGACGCTCATCCGAAGCCTGGGTATTGTAGAGCAGCTCACCCGCCTGCAGCACCCTGGCCCCCAGGGCCAGAAAAAACTTCATGAGTGTCGGGTGAGGGTCCCCGTGAAGCCTCCCAGAGGAAAAGGGAACAAGGGCTGTTGTCCCAGCACATGGTTGTGGCCTCACCAAAGGAGGCTTGTGTGATGGTGTCTGTCAGTGGAGACTGGGAAAGCAGAGTGCGCTGGCGGGGCCTTGGGAGAGGGTCTGTTGATTCCTTTTGCGTCTATTCCCAAGCTCCTTTGTTTTAGGTGTGACATCCAGAAAAGTGCAGCTCCAAACCCTCTCATTGACAAGAAACTTACTCTCAAAATAACCCCACACTCATGACTGACAAATATCACGGCCACCACCCTCAGTGGCTTCTGTACTATTTTCTCCCTAGCACTGCCAGTGCCCTGGCTCTCATGGGAGATAAGTAAACAGTCTTGGGCCAACAAAACAGCTGCCGCTTTCACTGTTCCCTGGGCTAGCAGCAAACCTGTTGGGTCTTCTGTTTTTGTTGAACGCCAAAGGAGTATCTGGCTAGACAGTGACCATGGCCTAGAAGAGATTTTTCCCAGTTACCTCCTTCTTCCAGTGCTCCATCCAAACTCACATAATAAACATGTGGTAAGGGACTGCTCTTCTCCTCTAGCCTAGATTTCATTAGGACAGGCTGGGCAGTCAAGAACTGAGGTCTGTGAGTCTGGTTCTATTGGTGCTTCTAAGAGGGGCTGCCAAAGAGCGGGGCCCTTTTCATTTCCTGCATCCAGTTCTGCCCCATGAATCAATCCCCAGGATCTTAGGGCCCCTGCTAAGCATGAATGCTGCAATCCCACATGTTCCCCGGTGCCATCTGCAGCCCAAGAACTTCAACTGGACAGGAGAGCCAGCAGCCATCAACCCCTATTCATTGTCAATGAAGAAGGCTGGGAGGCGCTATTTTTCCAGTGCCAGAATCAGGCTCACTAGCCGTAAGTATGCAAAACTAGCTTTGGTCACTTGGACCTGAGTAAATGCCACCAGTAAACATAGAGCTTGGATGCTCCCAAAATATAATATGGCACTTCCACCAGGGCGAAAATGGGGAAGTCAGGGTATCCATTTACTCCTTTCTTTTTTTTTTTTTTTTTTTTGAGACAAGGTCTCTATCTGTTGCCCAGGCTGGAGTACAATGGCTTGACCTCACCTCACTGCAACCTCTGCCCACGGGCTCAAGTAATTCTCCTGCCTCAGCCTCCTGAGTAGCTGGGACTACAGGCACACACCACCATGCCTGGCTAACTTTTGTATATTTTATTTTCGCCATGTAGCCCAGGCTGGTCTTGAACTCCTAAGCTCAGGTGATTTGCCCACCTCCGCCTCCCAAAGTGCTAGCATTAGAGGTGTGAATCACCGCAGCAGGCCTGTTTAATCCTTTTTGTACGGTAGACCTTGGTGATAAAAATGGCAAAAATACAGTCCTAGCACTCAACAAAGGTAACAGGAACATGGACAAGTAGACATACCATTCCAATGGCAATACAGAGTGGTAAAGACAGTGTGGGGACGCATGGGACGCCCTTCTTCTGTGTCATTGGGCCACAGTTGGGAAAGAAGTGAGCAGATCTCTTCCGTGAGTACCAACTGAGGGACATCCATGTTTCCACTGCAGAAGGCCAAGCCAGCAGAAGGCTAGAAGCCATAAACCGAGTCCTGGCAGGATCAGTGCCACCCACTTTAACCCCAAAGCAGGGCTATCTTCTGCAACCGGAAAGGGTGGCATCTAACTCCTGGGCTGAATGCACCTTGCCCTCCGTGGTAAACTCTGAACACAGAGCAGCCAAGGTTCCCCTCTGCCCTGCGTCTGCACCGATGCTGCAGCGTTCCAGAACACTCTTCAACATCAGTCAGTTCAGGTAAAAGCAGGAGGGAAGCCGACCACTCTACCTCTCCTGGAGAACCTCCCAGGTTTCCAAAGGGGCAAAGGGCATTCAATCTGTGCTAAATGAAAGATTGCCACTAAGTTCCACTTTGAAAAGCCCTGCCCAGGAAACCCATTTGCATAAGGCAAAATACAAAGACACCAAGAATTCCTCAATACTCTAAGATTATTTGGGGATCGGGAAAGCCTAGATGAAGAGGCGCCAAGGACAGCCAAGTACTGATTTCTGCTCATCAAGTCTTAGCCTGGGTTTGTCGCTAGGTGATGGGTCTGAACCCTAGGTGCGGCCCGGGGCTGAAGGCCATCCAAGACACAAAGAGCCCCTTTCTCAGAGGAGCCGAGTGCCCAAGTCACCGGGCTGTCGCCGTCAGAAGACCGCTAAGCGGAAGCCCTGCCCACGGCGGTGGTGAAGACAGGCAGGCCTGGGCAGCCGCTGGGGCGGAGAGGCGGCGCTTGGAAACTGAATCCGTTTTTTAATTAAAGTTTATGCGGTTTTCCAGGCGCGTCCTGTGCCTCATTTCGGCCCTCGCGTTTCAGGAAAACCCTCTCCACGGCTACTGCCACAAAGGGTGGGCCAAACAGCGGCGCAGGCTCAGATCTTCCCCAAACCAAGTGAGGCAGGAAATACTTGCAACCACCCAGCTTCCGGCCCGCCCTTTTCACTTCCGGTTCTGCCCCTCTACTTCCGCTGCTGTCCCGTAGCGGACTAACGTCGACATGGCGGTTACGCTGAGGCTCTTGCTGGGCGGCCGCGTTCGCGCTGCCGTTGCTCGCTGTGGGTTTGCGACCCGGGGAGTGGCGGGCCCAGGCCCTATCGGCCGAGAGCCGGACCCCGATACCGACTGGGAGCCAGAGGAACGGGAGCTGCAGGAGGTGGAGAGGTACCGGCTTCTCCCCGGGCCCTTAGCTTGAAGCAGGGCCTCGCGCCCCGGCGCCCTAGGCTGCGCCCCCTTGGCGCTGGGCGTCCTGCGGCTGCTTGCGTGACGTTCCTTGTTCCTTCTTACCCGTTGTCAGGGGCGCAGCCTTAGGTGTTCAGCTCCCCGGGAACCCCTGGTCCCTTCCCTAGTGACATATTTCATCACCAGTATATAGAAAGTTCGGCATCTCACGGGCAGTTACTGTGTTCTAGGTGGTAGCTTTTGGGTGGACAGAGCAGCTCTAAGCAGGCAACGTGGCCCGGTTGCCCTTGCAATCCAAGAGAAGAGGGCTGGGCGCTCCTGATTTAGCCTGAGGCTCTTCAGACATCCATTCTGCTTCCACGCATGGCTTCCGCCCTTGGTTCTTTCCCCCAGCACCCTGAAGCGACAGAAAAAAGCAATCCGATTCCAGAAAATACGAAGGCAAATGGAGGCGCCTGGTGCTCCGCCCAGAACCCTGACGTGGGAGGCCGTTGAGCAGATCCGGTAAGACTCGGTGCACCTCCTGGGTTTCTGCTGTGGGGAGACTTGAAGGATGCCGGAGCCCAGAACACGGGTTTGGCTTTTTTGATATTGCGTGATATTTTTGTTTACTTTTTGTCATTGAAATTTATTATCAGAAAAGTAGAGTAATATAACGAAGTTCCATAAACCTGTCATCATCTAGATTTAATAGTGTTTTGTTTTTCTTTTTAAAGAGACGGCGTTTCGCCATGGTCTCAAACTCCTAACCTCAAGTGATCCGCCCGCCTGGGCTTCCGAGAGTGCTGGGTTGTGTCCAGCCTGGATTAAATAGTTTTTTTTTTTCTTTTGGTTAGGCAACTGGAAAGATTTAATAGTTCTTAACGTTATGCCATGGTTGGTTCATTTTTGCTGACATTTTAAAAAATAGTAAATTGCAGACATCATAACATTTAAGCCCTGAATGATCATAACCTTCCCAACCTAAGGTCCAGGGATGCTGGTGTTTCCATAATTAGGTGCATTTTTCTGAATAGAGGATCCATAATTTAGGGAAGCTTAAAAGGGATTTTAAGTTTTTTTTGTTCTGAGTAGGTAAAGCATTACATAATGGCTCACCGTCTTAACAGTATATACCATCTCAATGGTATACGTATTGAGAATTATTTGTCTCACCCACTCTCCTGTGGTTATTTTTTTACCCCCACAGGTCACTGCAGCCTCTACCTCCTGGGCTCAAGTTATCCTCCCACTTCAGTCTCCCAAATAGCTGGGACTACAGGTGCATGCCACCATGTCTGCTTAATTTTATTTTTTGTAGAGACGGTCTCATCATGTTGCCCAGGCTTGTCTCCAATTCCCCAGCTCAAGCAATCATCCCACCTCGGCCTCCTAAAGTGTTGGGATTACAGGCATAAGCCATTGTGCACAGCTGTACTATTTTTAATAGTTTTTCTCTACCAAAAAAAGCCAGGCTCCGTGCCCTGGGTGAGCCACTGCGCCTGGCCCTCAATTCTTCAATTTTTATTTAAACATCATTTTCCTCCTTTCTATTTAACAGAGATGGGGGTTTCACTATGATGACCAGGCTGGTCTCAAACTTCTGGCCTTAAGAGATCTTCCCATCTCAGCCTCCCAAAGTGCTGGGATTAGAGGTGGGAACCACCAAGCCTGGCCAGGATGCATTATTTAACATGTCTTTTGTTATGGGCATTTACTTGGGCTATTTCCATTTCTGTTGCTCACTAATAGTGCTCCAGTGAATAATTTTGTATATATATCATTCTACTTGTCAGGAATATTTGTTAAATACATTCCCAGAAGTAAGGGTGCCAGGTCAAAAGACGAATGTATTTGCATTTTGATAAATATTCCTAAGTAGCCTTACGTAGGTTATGTACTGTTTTTCATTTCCATCAGAATTACTCTGGAATTGAAATTTAAAAGGGGATTCTGTAGAGCTGTTCAAGGTTTTGTGAGCCTGTAGCACCTTCTGGGTTAGGTCAGGTCTATCTCATTTTTTCTTTTTTCTTTGTTTTTCTTTGAGATAGTCTCACTGTCTTCCAGGCCAGAGTGCAGTGCTGAACTCTCAGTTCACTGCAGCCTCTGACTCTCGGGTTGAAGAGATTCTTGGACCTCAGCCTCTGCCTCCCAGGTTCAAGAGATTCTTGGGTCTCAGCCTCTCGAGTAGCTGGGATTTCAGGCGTGCACCACCACACCTGGCTAATTTTCGTGTTTTTAGTAGAGATGGGGTTTCACTATGTTGACCAGGCTGGTCTCGAACTCCTGACCTCACATGTTCCACCTGCCTCAGCCTCTCAAAGTGCTGGGATTACAGGCATGAGCCACCGGCGCCAAGCCTCTATTTCCTGTCTTCAACAACAGCTTTTTCACTCCTTTCACCTTCCTACTTATCTCCCTTTTTTGTGGTCTATAAATGTCTTTCTAAGAGAAAAAAACAGTCCCTTAATAAGTAAGAACTTTCAGCTTCCTGGTCTTCCTCTGCTTGCTACTCTCAAACTTATACTCTACTCTCATCTCGAGGAAATGGTAGCCCTTCACTTGTCCGGGATCAAACCTCTGTATGCTTTAGGTCATTTTTCTCCCTGCTTACTCTGGGACCTCTGTCCTCAACCTAAAGCTCCTCTCATTCTTTTGTTCCCAGCTGGTTTTCAGGCTGCCTACCCTTTGTTTGTTTGTATCACTGCAGTAAAACTGCTCTCCTTAAATCCTCAGTGCTAGGTTCAAATGACACTTTGTAGTCTTTAGCCTCCTTAATAATTCAGCAGCATTTGCCCTCGTAAAAACTGCCTTTTAAATGAAAAAAAAAATTTAAATGCCATGTTGCCCAACCTGATCTCCAACTACCGAGCTCAAGCGATCTGCCTGCCTCAGCCTGCCGAAGTGTTGGGATTACAGGCATGAGCTACTGTGCCCGCCCCAAACTGCTTTCTTTCCTTTCTTTCCCTCCCCTCCTCTCCCTCTCCTCTCCCTGTCCTCTCCCCCTCCTCCTCTCCCCCTCCTCCTCCTCCTCTCCCTCTCCCCCTCCTCCTCCTCTCCCTCTCCCCCTCCCCCTCCTCCTCCTCTCCCCCTCCCTCCCTCCCTCTCCTCTCCCTCTCCTCTCCCCTCACACTGTTACCCAGGCTGGAGTGCGGTGGTGCGATCTCTGCTGACTGCCACCTCCACCTACTGGGTTCAAGCGATTCCCCTGCCTCAGCCTTCTGAGTAGTTGGGATTACAGGTGTGTGCCACTACACATGGCTAATTTTGGTATTTTTTTTTTCTTAATAGAGAGGGGGTTTCACTATGTTGGTCAGGCTGGTCTTGAACTCCTGACCTCATGATCCACCTGCCTCAACCTCCCAAAGTGCTTGGATTACAGGCATGAGCCATCACACCTGGCCTATTTTCTTTGACCCTCAGTCTTGCTCTGTCGCCCAGCCTGGAGTACAGTGGCACGATCTCAGCTCACTGCAACCTCTGCCTCCTGGGTTTAAGTGATTCTCATGCCTCAGCCTCCCAAGTAGATGGGATTACAGGTGCATGCCATCACACCCGGCTAATTTTGTATTTTTAGTAGAGGTGAGGTTTCACATGTTGGCCAGGCTGGTCTTGAACTCCTGACCTCAAGTGAGCTGCCCGCCTTGGCCTCCCAAAGTGCTGGGATTACAGGAGTGAGCCACCATGCCCGGCCTTTCGTTTTTATTTTTATTTTTTAATTTTACTTTAAGATCTGGGGTACATGTGCAGAACGTGCAGGTTTGTTACATAGGTATACGTATGCCTTGGTGAACTGCTTTTTTAACATTCTCTTCTCCCTTGACTCCAGGGTACCATTCCCTTCTGTTTTTTTATTTTTATTTTTTCTGTTTGTAGGGCTGCTTTTCTCAGTTTCCTTCCTGGGCTCCTTTTCTACCTCCTGTATCTTAACTGCTGTTATTTCTTAGAGTTGTGTCCTTGTCATTTTAGCTCACTCTGCATATTTCCCTGCCTGATGCTAGCCATTCATTTATCCCTGCTCTTGGCTTATGACTTCCAAATCTGTCATCTCCAGTTCATTTTTCTTTCTGAACTCTAAAGGCATATACAGTATTTAACTGTGTACCAGATATCTCTGTTTTGGAAATCACAGTTTCCTCAAACTCAGTGTGTACAAAATAGAATTCATCGTCGTTCCCTGAAAACTTCATTCTGTTCCTGTGTTGTTTTTTTTTTTTTTTTCATAACCTACTAATTACCCAAGCTAAAATCCTGAATCTTGGCCTTGATGCTTCCTCCTCTAATAATTTGTTCCTTAGTACCAAGGTGTACTATTTGACTTTCCCAAAATATTTCTCAGCTTACTTTCCTCCTATGTTCCATTGCCACTGTCTCACTTGAGATTGCCTGGATGACAGCCTCTTGACTAATCTTTCTGCCTGTACTTTTATCAGTGAAAACCTATCACTAGGTTGAATTCCTTTTTTTCTTTTTTCTTTTTAAAATAGAGATGGGATCTCACTACGTTTCCCAGGCTGGTCTCTTAACTCCTGGGCTCAAGCAGTCCTCCTGCCCCAGCCTCTCCAACTGCTGGGAGTGAGCTACCGTGCCGGGCTGAAGGTTGAACTTCAAAATGAAAATTCATCCATGGCATTCCACTGCTTAAAATTTTTCCTTGGCTTGCTGTTGCCTTGGGATAAACTCCAGACCCCTAAGTGTGATCTGCCTCTTACCCTTGCTGCCAGTTAAGCTATTCCCAGCAAAGGTGATGTGCTGCTGTGCGTTTCACAAGCCGTTCTGTCATCAGTACCTTTGGATCTCTCCTTCTCTCCTCCCTTCTGCCAGCTTATTACTCCTTTCATCCTTATAGACCAACTCTAACTTGGACATCATGAAACAGTTCCTGGGCCTGGCTGTAAGTGTTCTTATTTCCCATATCTGGGTCTCCCTCTGGAGTGCTATCTTTGCACCCTGTGCTATAACCTTTACCATAATATCATTCATTGTGTCTGTCCCCACTCCTGAACTGTGTAAAGGGCAGGTCAGTCCTCCTGCATCCCCAGCATCTGATGTGGGTATTAGAAGTCAGTGAGAGGAGCTGAGTTGATGTAAAATGAAGTGACCAACAGTGGTCAGGTGTTGCTCTTGACACACAGGAACAGAACACAGCCATTTAGCTAGCACAAGGTAGGGACTACATGTGTGGCTTTTCAAGACCTTTTTTTGTTTTTTTGAGACAGAGTCTTACTCTGTTGCCTAGGCTGGAATGCGGTGGCACGATCTCAGTTCACTGCAGCCTCCACTTACCAGGTTCAAGTGATTATTTTGCCTCAGCCTCCAAATAGCTGGGATTACAGGTGTGAGCCACCACGCCCAGCTAATTTTTGGTAGAGATGGGCTTTCACCTTGTTGGCCAGGCTGGTCTCGAGCTCCTGGCCTCAAGTGATCTGCCTACCTCGGCCTCTCAGAGTGCTGGGATTACAGGCATGAGCTACCACGCTGGGCCTCTTCTTTATCATAGATATTGTGAGTTAGATGTTCTGTTAGGAGACTTCTTCACAACTTGCAAACCTGCTCCTTCTTCCCATAGGTATTTACATAAGGAATTTGCAGAGTCCTGGTCAGTTCCCAGGTTGGCTGAAGGCTTTGATGTCAGCACTGATGTGATCCGAAGAGTTTTAAAAAGCCGGTTTGTACCAACATTGAAGCAGAAGCTGAAGCAGGATCAAAAAGTCCTTAAGAAAGCTGGTCTTACCCACTCGCTCCAGCAGCTCCAGGACTCTGGAAATACCTCGAAGCCGCTCCCTGCAGGCTACTCTGCATCAGGCTCTTTGCCTAAACCAGGGCATGAAGCCTCATCCAAAGACCCAGATCACAGTACAGCTTTGAACGTGATAGAGTCAAACACTCATAGGGCAGATACACCAAGGAGATGGAAGGGCAGGAATAAAGGAATCCAGGAGCTGGAGGAGAGCTTTGTACCTGTTGCTGCACCCCTAGGTCATCAGAGAGAGCTGCAGAAGTACTCCAGTGATTCTGAGAGCACCAGAAGAGCTGGCTATGGTGTGTTGCCAAGTGATCAGAAGCTGGCGGAGTTGAAGGCAGAGGAGCCAGGTAACTTCAGCAGCAAAGTAGTGCAGAGGGGGCGAGACTTTTTCGACAGCAATGGGAACTTCCTGTACAGAGTTTGAGTCGAGGCTTGGCTTGTGGAGATGCCTCGTGAAGTATAGCAAGGCAAATATTAACGTATATGGAGCAGACTGGATTTCTATGTGTGGATAAGCCAGCTTGGAATAGGAAGAAGTGATGAGCCTGGACTGTGGGAGGAAAAAGCTGCGTAGATAGAGGGAAGCTTCCTGTAGTAGTTCTTCCAGTTAAACTGCTGTAGATCTTCAGTACTCAGTCTTCTTGCTTGGGCTGTCTGTATGTTGAAAACCAGCCCGTGTGCATGCGTTATTAACATTTTCTGTGGTACTTGCAATATATGTTTGAGAGGAACTAAAAGGTTTTACCTTCTGACCTCATTTCATTCTTGGTCAGTGAACACTAACAGTTTTGGGACAGCTTAGTCACTTGGTTTTCCTTATGAGCAAAATAAAGTAAAATGTAGCAGTCTGCTTTCTTGGTGCTCTCTGGTGGGATAGTTTACCTGGAACCTTGGAGAGTGAGGAGAAAGGAAGGATCCCTGCTCTGTAAACTGGGAGAGGGATGGAACCAGAGGAATTTCCCAGCAAAGGGCTTGGTCCAGAGCATCCTGCTTAGTGATGGATTCCAATAGCCGAAACCTGGACACCTTTCTCTTAGTTGCTGGGGTTCTGGCAGAGATTGGGAAATTGGGGGTTGGCAGAAAATACAAAGCAGGCAAAGGCTTTCGGGCCCTCATCATAATCTCCAGCCGCATTTTAAAGTTTTTAAGAGCTGGCCATGGCGGAATGTGCCTGCAGTCCCAGTTACTTGGGAGGCTGGGGTAGGAAGATCGCTTGAGCCTGGGAGGTTGAGGCTGCAGTGAGCAACACGGCACTCCAGGCTGGGTGGCAGAGTGAGACCCCCATCTCTAAATAAAATCAGTCAGTCTTAAATTATGTCTCGTTTTACCATTACTTAACCAAATTTCTACAATGGTGCCATGAGGTAGGCAATCACAGATGAATGAGTCCATTTTACAAATAAGGAAATAGACTAAGATGGCTGGTAATAAGTGGCAGTGCTTGGACTTAACTTGGGTCTCATCAGTAATCCAGGGCTTCTGGAAGTCCAGGAATAGGGCACCGTCTGCCATAATTTCTGTTAATAAATTGATTGTTTTAGAAATACATCTGTTGTAACCAGAAATTCTGTGACAACTTAGTCAATTGGTTTTCCTTACAAGCAAAACAAAGTAAAATGTAGCAGTCTTTCTTGGTGTTCTCTGGTGGGATGGTTAACCTGTGAACCTTGGAGAACCATGTCCTGCTTTCACAGTTAATGGCTACTTAAAATTTAAATATATGTAGGACATTAATGAAAACACCTACATTACAGGCCAGGCGTGGTGGCTCACGCCTGTAATCCAAGCAGTTTGGAGGCCAAGGTGGGCGGATCACCTGAGGTCAGGAGTTCAAGACCAGCCTGACCAACATGGTGAAACCCCGTCTTTAAAAAAAAAAAAGTTGGCCGGGCCTGGTGGCTCATGCCTGTAATCCAAGCAGTTTGGAGGCCAAGGCGGACGGATCACCTGAGGTCGGGAGTTCAAGACCAGCCTGACCAACATGGTGAAACCCTCTCTTAAAAAAATAGAAAGCACCTGCACTCTAACTCAGTCATTGCCACTCTGTGGAATCTTACTGCTATTTCAAGTGTCCATTTGCAGCCATGAAAATACTGATTACTGTTGCTTTTAATTATTGATAACTTGAGCATCTGTTCTCAGTATGAATGACAAAGCCCTATCACATGCCAAGCAAAATTCTACAATCCAGATGTAGTAATATAACAGTGTTCTCTGTCAGTATCACATAGTTCATAGTAAAAGTTTACAAAATTTTTATGGTTTGTTTGTTTATTTAAATTTGCATTTCTAACTTGTAAATCACCTAACCATGCCATACCCTTTTCCCAGTGGGCTATAGAAACCTAAAAGCTGTTCTTACAACTTTATTTCTTTTTGAGATGGAGTCTTGCTCTGTCATCCATGCTGGAGTACAATGGCACAGTCTTGGCTCACTGCAACCTCTGCCTCCCGAGTTCAAGCAATTCTCCTGCCTCAGTCTCCTGAGTAGCTGGGACTACAGGCACACACCACCAAACCTGGCTAATTTTTTTGTATTTTTACTAGAGGAGGGGGTTTGACCATATTGGTCAGGATGGTCTTGATATCTTAACCTTGTGATCCACATGCCTCAGCCTCACAAAGTGCTGGGATTACAAGCATGAGCCACCACGCCTGGCCGCATATATACAACTTTAAAACAAGTGCAAAAGAATAATATTGGGCCAGGCGCTGTGGCTCACGCCTGTGAACCCAGCACTTTGGGAAGCCGAGGTGGGTGGATCACCTTGAGGTCAGGAGTTGGAGACCTGCCTGGCAACATGGTGAAATCCTGTCTCTACTGAAAATACAAGAATTAGCGACTCTCCACCGCCACCTGGGCCCACGGGCTCCTTTGTCCAGCTCTGCTGGTCGACAGAATCCGCTGCAGCCTGGCCTGCAAGCGAGTGCTGCCGCTGGGTCCTGCCCAGTTCCTCAGCGCCATCACCTTTGACATCTTCGCTGTGGCGGCTAACTCATAAATAGTATGATTTTTTGTTCTGTATTTAGATATACTCTCCATTTGCTCTTGCATTTGCTTTGTAGACTTGCTTTTAGAGGTCACATTTTCTTTTCATTACGATTTCTAATCACTAGGAACAGACAAAAGAGGCTTAACTCTTGATAGGCATTTAAAACTCTTTTTGGCACAGGTTAAGTTAATTTGACATGCGCAATATCTTGATGATACCATTCATTTACTCAAAGAAATATTATCTTAGTATTTGCTCTGAACTGGGTTTCAGGGATGGAAGCAGACTGAAGCAGATACAGCCTCCACACTGAGAGTTTCTAGATTAAATGGAGAAGTACTTAATGAACTAAGCAACCACAGTAAACTTTAAGTCCATGTAAAGATAACAGTGAGGTGTCTGGGGAGAACAAACCCAGGCACATTAGCCAGTCTGGGCTGGCTGGGGAAGACTTCCAGGTGAAAGGGAAGTTTAAAAAACAGAAAGAGAAGAAGAGGGGAAAGAGAAGAACAACCCAGAACCTGCCTAGAATCCAGAAAGAACTTAACTGACAGGAATCCACTATAAAGCCTAATACATTTTTTAAATCTAGAAAAATAATATTTTTTTCCTAATAGTTTATCGTCTTTTGTACCTGGCCTGTTTACAAAAAGAAACATGATAAACCAGAGGACTTAAAGGTGAGGAATTTTTATAATTAACAATAATGTATTGTATAATTCAGAATAGCTAGAATACTTCTAATATTCCTAGCATAAAGGAAATATAAATATTTAATGTGATGGATATCCAAATTATCCTGATTTAATCTTTGCACCTCATATGGATATATCAAGTTTCAAAAATGAAGATGATTTCTGGAAAAACAAAAATAAAGGCTAGAGATTGGGCATTTTCACCTATATTACACTCAGGACCACGAAGAGCACTTGTTGGCTAATTGTGTAGACACACATTAATACTGTGTACTGTGTGGTAGGTGGCAGCATTAAGGTTTAGTTTTCTGGAGGATACTGAGTGCCTGTTATCTAGCAGAATGTCTAGAGAAAACTTGCAGCCTTTCAGTAAGGAGATTAGATGGTAGGTTTTTATTTTAGTTGTAGAAATAGGTTGTAAGGAGCCATTGATGTTTTCAGAAAGTTACACAAGAACCTGGCTATAATGTTATATTTGGAGTCAGTGACATGGCAGGAGTTACAGATAAACCACACTTGTTATTGAAGCATTCTGGAACTCCAAGGAATAATGTTGCTGGAAATGGTCCAAAGCAGAACTGCATTTACCAATTCTGCACTGTGCTGGTTAGTGCAATAGAGGTAGGTCTAAGGGTGACTCGGAGCATACCAACATTTTTAAATCCCTTATCTCCTTACTTCCAGGAGCTTTAAAACCCTGGGAAATCTCACAAATTCACTTGTTATCTTTGCATTCAAATTCCACAGTCCAGTTACCTCGTTTCATGGTAGTTGAATGGTTTTGATTGTAAAACATACAAAATGAAAATGCACATTACATTGAGTAAAGATGGCCTTGCATGCCTTAGGATTTTGAATTTAAAATGTATTCTAAAATGGATCAGAAATTCACAATTTGAGGCTGGTAAATAGAAAGTGAGAAGTAAGACCAGAAAGGATGTAAATCTCTAGAGACCTTTCCAAATCTGTGTTTTTTTTCCCTTTTTTTTTTTAAAGACAGGGTTTCACCATGTTGGTCAGGCTGGTCTTGAACTCCTGACCTCAGGTGATCCGTCCGCCTTGGCCTCCGAAGTGCTTGGATTACAGGCGTGAGCCACCACACCCGGCCCCAAATCTGTGTTTTTAATCTTTCTTACCAAGTCAGATAAATGAAAGTACAAAAGGCTTTGGAGTATACATAAAATTTATGTTTTTAAACACAGATGTGACATATATAATCTATTTTATGTTTTGACAACTAAGTAGAATCAACGACTAAGTAGATTTAGGGCTGGAAGATAGTTCTCTATTAAATGAGTTGGCTGGTCCCTTAATTACAATAAAGGTCAAAGGCCAGGTTGCACCCATAGACAAGTATCAAGATGCATTTTAGGCACAAGGACAGAGAAATCTGTTTCTTCTTTAAGACAGAAACTGTATGTCTAGTCCTTAGTACCTTACTGACAGCTGAGCCAAATAAATTTACTTCTGGGATGTATCTAATCTTAAACATATTTTTAGGTGGCATAGCCCAGAGAAACCCTTTTATTGAACTTTGCCTCTTTGTCATTCTTGATGATTTCAATTCATTGATTATTAAAAATTAAACCTCTCAGGCTAAACAAGAAACTCTCAAAATGTAAGAAAGCTGACTTGGCACAAGAGACTTAATAAAGTATTTTCTTTATGTTGAGAGTATTTAGTGAGCCTGCCCCGTCTGTAACAATCCATATCACCACTGAGCAGAGCCCATAGCGGTTAAAGTCAAATCATGCACCTATACTTACTTTATAGGACAATTATCCAGTACAGCAAGCCTCTGGTCGGTAGGACCTCATCAACCTGCATGGTGACATTTTTTATTGCATTGACATTTCACGCTGTTAAGCCCATATTGCTTTGGAAATCAGCACTCCCCATCTTAGCTTCTCTTTTGCTTTACTAGATGATATTTCCTAACTAATAAAAATGAGGGAAAAAATTATTCTCAACCCAATGCCAAATAATCAGAAAGTGATCATTTTCTTTTCTCCACATTTAAAGGTTTTTTTTTTTTTTTTTGAGATGGAGTTTCGCTCTTGTTACCCAGGCTGGAGTGCAATGGCGCGATCTCGGCTCACCGCAACCTCCGCCTCCTGGGTTCAGGCAATTCTCCTGCCTCAGCCTCCTGAGTAGCTGGGA